CTTGCTTTTGGCAATGACCTTTAAAAATTGGAAAGAAGAGTGCAGGGTCCCTAAGTTTCTGAATACTCTCATAGATACTGTATACATAGAAAACCAGGGTAAGGACCCCATCAGAGGTGGGGAAAAACAAATGAAATAATCCAAAGCAAATCTATGCATCAATTTACTTGTTTTTCCAACGTTTGGAGGAAGAGGTCACGTGTTGTAAGATTTTACTGAGCTAGACCCTTCACAGGCATTACTTTATGGAGCCATCACAGCTAATTCGTAAGGTAGCTATTATACAGCAGACCCTGGGGACACAGCACACACGGTTCCTGCCTTCTAAGGGGCACAGGGCAGGTGTGACCAGACGTCACACAGTGTTATGTGAGGTGTGACAGAGGGAAGGTTCCATGCTCTGTGGGGAATATGTTAGGGGAGGATCGTGTTCAGGACCGTAGAGCTAGGATTCCTCTCAGGAACCCTTTTAGAAAGGAAGACTCTGCCTCTGAGCCCAAATCTAGCTGGAAAACCCAACCAGGAACATAAAGGCAGCACGAAATGAATGTGTTCAGATTAAACGGGTATCTGTCACAACTCCTCACATATTATTAACAAGTTTAAAATTTTTAATTTTAAATAGACATGTCTGTAAAGCTGTCATGGGAAAGGAAATAAGCAGCCCAGTTGTACCACTAAGGTGCAAAATAATTCATAGAAATTATCCTTCCTAAAAGTATGCCTCAGTGTCGAGACATGGATAGTCTCGTAGGCTTTTATTAAAAACAAAACAAAACAAAACAACAAAACTCTAAAAGATAAGGCAAAAACTGCAATTTTACTTACAACATGATCAGGGTTTCTTGCAAGTTTCTATTGATTCTTTTTCACTAAACACAATTCAGAAGATAATTCTTCCAGGGATGGGGGGAATCTTACAATGAAAACCTGCATAAAAGTGTTTACAGTGGCTCTATTCATAACTGCCAAAACTTGGAAACAACCAGGATGGCCTTCAATAGGTGGATGGATAAACAAACTGTGGTACACCCATACAATGGAATATTACTCAGTGATAAAAAGAAGTGAGCTATCAAGCCACAAAAGACACAGAGGAACCTTAAATGCATTCTGCTAAGTGAAAGAAGCCAGTCTGAAAAGGCTACATACTGTATGATTCCAACTACATGACATTCTGGGAAAGACAAAACTGTGGATGTAACAAGAAGGTCAGTGTTGTCAGGCGTTATGGTAGCAGCAGAGAGAAGGGGTGAGTAGGTGGAGCACAGGGGATTTTTAGGCTGTGAAACTATTCTGTACGGTACCGTAATGGTGGACACATGACATTATGCACTTGTCAGAACCCAAAACACTGTATGACACAAAGAACGAATGCTAATGTAAACCATGGACTTTAGTTACTAATAATATATCAATATTGGTTCATAACTGTGACAAATGTACCGCACTAATGCAAGACGTTAGTAATAGGGGAGACTGTGAGGGTGGTGCTGATGGAGGGACCTTTCTGTGCTTTATGCCCAATTTTCTTGTGAACCCAAAACTTCTCTAAAAGTTAAGTCTACTAATTAAAAAATCTTAAGACAGTTTGAAGAGGAAAGAGACTGGTTAACCTGAACAAACAAAGAGAGAAGTGATTCCATATTGTAGAATGATATGAATTACTATCATCTCACACATGTCTGTTAGTTATGGTGTATTTTTAATTGAAATAATAGGTGTATAACAGAACACCAGGAGAGTAGTGTAGAATTATCTTTATTTCAGAACTGATGGGACCTTAGAGATGAATAAACAGGTTTAGATAAACTCAGAAAATAACCAATCATGACTATGTGAGAAAGGGAAAACTGTGTTAGGTTTCTGCTGGGGCAAACTGAATGTGTTAAAGTAAGTGTTATGGAAAAAAACATTTATAGTTGCTAAGGATGCAAAAAAAAATCTCCTGAAACTTTAACTTACGTTAGTACATTGGAATGTAGCCCAAATTACTACATACGTTTATACCTAAATGGTTTAATTTAGGTGGTACTAATCTTACACACTCTTTGAGGGTTCCTAAAGTTATTTCTTCATCAACATAAATGATCCACCTTTTCAGCTATTTTAAAACTCAGGACAATAAACATTCCACCGGCACATGTGAGAGGTGGTACAGCCTGGGGATTCGAGTATGGGTGGTGGAGTTAGACTGCCTGGGTTCAAATCGTGGTTCCACTACTCACTGGCTGGGTGACCTTGGGCAAGTGACTTAACCTTCCTTGGCCTTTGTCTCCCCATGTGGAAAGTGGGGACAATAGCAATACTTATCTCATGATTAAATGAATTAATGGACATTTCACTTGTGCAGGGCCTGGCCCACAGCTCTCAAGTGTTAACTGTTACTAATCCCAATAAACTGATTTTAGGAGACCACGCCTGATGGCAACATGAACACACCTCTATGGTGATACTTCTGCTACTCCTAGAATTACTGTTAACATGTTGGCCTCCTCCACTGAATCGTACTCAGTGACAGCAGGAGCCGAATTGTAGTCATCTTTGTTAACAAAACACGTTTAAGGAAACAGTTCCCAGAATAAGGAACTACGCTGATTTACTTCTTACTGGGAAAGAAATTTTAATTTCAGCTAAAATTCATACTGTTGAATTGAAAACTTTTTTTTTTCAATTGAATTGAAAGAGGAAACAAGGTAAAGGTTTAGCGCACCGTACTTTGGCCCAGTGACATTACGGTATATCAATTTTATGATTATCTGTGCCCTAAAGTATTTCCCCTGGGGAGATTGGATTACACTGGGCCTTTTGGCTGAAATGCAACCATGTTGAAAAGAGAGAAAACAGCAACTGGAGGTTCAAACTGAACATTAACTGCAAGTTGGGATCCACACCATTTTTAGTTGGCGAGAGCTCTAATTCACAATTCAATAGTTCCAGATAACAGATCAAATCTGCGCTTCTGGTTTTGAAAGGCTCTGGTGAACCCAGTGAGTGCAACTTCAGCTACTGTATCAAAGACTGATGTTTATTTAATCAAGATGGGAAATAAGAGTTTATGATATCCTAAGAAGCAATAAAGTTCTTATCTTCATGTAAACTACCCAAAATAAATACCAAGGGCAGCAAACTGGAAAAACACCCCAAAGTACAGAAGACTGGCTTCTAAATAGATGGCCTTTTCATTTTAAGCAACAGACAAGTATTTAACTAAATTATTCTCCACTGAGACTATTAAAATGGTTTTACTATTGCTATCCAAATGGAATTTCAGATCCACTTAATTTCAAGAAATTGACTGAAATTCAAATCACAGATTTGGTGTATTTTAAATGGTGCTATGTGCTCTATGTGCTATTTGTGCTCATTACCACATCGAAGTGGCTGGACTCAGATGTATTAAGTCAGAGATGCCAAATTAATTTCTTAGACATCTTCATAAATAGCTCTAAAATTATGAGGCTTAATGATTGAAAACCTTTCCCATTTCTTATTGTTCACTGGTGACATAATTTAGATCAGATAGATATTTAGTATACAAGATTCCCAGAATTATAAAACCAGGAAGAACCCTAATGGGCATCCAGTCCAATGTCCTTACTTTCTAAGAAAATGAGGCCCAGAAGAAGCAGATGAATGTAGTAGTTAAAAGCTTGGGATCTGGAGTCAGACAGACCCAGTCCCAGATTGGCAAGTTATTCACTGCTGGACCTTGAGAAAGTTATTTAAGCCCTCTAAACCTCAGTTTCTCCATCTGCAAAATGGGATCAACAACTGTACTAATCTTTATAGCTTTGTAGTAAAGACTGGATGAGCTGAACACTCAAAGTATTCAGCACAGAAGATTGGCACACTGTAACTACTCAGTAAATGCTACCAGTTATTATTATGATGACTAAAAACTGACTCCTAAGGCAAGTAAGCAGCAACAGAACTAGAACTTGTGCTGCTGCACGCGTCACAGTGTTTTTCATCTGAACAGTACCTGGGATAAAGATTCACTGGTCCTGACAATTTAACTATAACTACATCAAATAGAAGGACAACTGTTTCAGTTTTCCTGCTACTGAAATTATCAAAATATTAAAATGACGATTACATCCTGAGGTGTCAAATTCATGAAGATTCACATGTACTGAGCTTTTCATGAGTAATGGACATTACATGTTTACCTTTGTAACTGTTAAATTATATGCTTTTAAGTATTTCCCGTCAAAAGCTGCTCATATAAAATAAATGACAAAAGTTAGGGTTCACTTGCTAATGATCTTAAATTTGACCCTGATTAGTTGCTATATGGACTAAGTCCGATATTCTTAATTTGTATCATCAGTCAGATATCACCATATCCTCTACACATGTGCTATGGAGGAAGAAGAATAAGGACACATGAAAGAAAAAGGTCACATGCATCTGCAGTGTGGGTGAGAATCGGTTTGGCTAATACAGACTCCTCAGAACCCAGCGGCCACCAATCACAGACATTTGGAATTGCCATTTCTGTCAACATTGTGTCCTTATACGATTCAGCTCAGAGTTGAATGTTTTTCTTACATTAAAAGATGAATAATTAAGAAGGGTCATAAGGAATATGAGCTTTTTATAATATGCTCTCAATATTCTGCATTTGTTAATTTTTAGTTAGTTGGCAGTCTTTTCAATAAATATTCTCAGACTGTCAAGTGGGTGCTTAAAACATTTTCTTGTAGTAAACTAAAGGTCATTTTTCTCCTAATCTGGAGAATGATCAATGTATATAAAATTACTTTAAATCTTTAAAAATAAGAGTAACTGAATTAAATAGACATCAGCTCAAACTACAGTGACATAAGCTCAAATATAAAAACATGAAAAAAACCCAAACACCTTTTTATGTAACACAAATGTGATTCAGCAGACCAACAGATGAAGAAAATAGTAATTTGAAAAGTGGCAATCTGTATCCACAGCCAGTATTTAGTATTTCAGCGACTAGAAATAAAATGGTTTGGCAAACTTACCCGCATTTTTGCACAAGCATCTTGGGTTGATTCTGTCCCCCTGAGCTCTTTTATCAGCATAGAACCTAAATACTGAAATACAAAAAAATTTAACGATTTATGAAAAACAGAATATAAATATGAGTAGCAATTTAAAAGCAGACTGCAGAAGTACCACTGGCCAGGTTTCCTGGCTGTAGGCTGCTGCATAACTTTTAAAAACTAACGGTAACTAATTCTAACAAATAAATGCACGTATAGAGAGAATGCAGCAGAATTAAGCACAGTTCTGAAAGCTGTAAATTGCTCTTTATAATAAAACTGTAGCAGTTTCTAAAGACGCCATCTTTCAGATCATATTTAACTGCAAAACGGGGGCATCTAAAAATGTTTTCCCTTGTTTTTTGAGGCAGCTATGTCTGCAAAAATAAATCACATCACTATCTATGTAATTACAGGGTTGTATGAGACAGCTGAGAAGCTAAGCAACATGCACCCCATTTGGACTTAGTTGGCTGCATAGGTAATTAACGTTAGGCTGTTCTGAGGCAGAGATGCAGTTTTGGACCTTTTTCATTCACAGCTGTGTGCCCTGTGGCTGATCCACTTGAGAACAGGCTGGGAGCGTGCGGGGAGGGGGAATGTCATTCACAGTTGTTCCACAGCCCAGAGAGCTGAGTCTTTGGTGCAAACTGACACTGGAGGGGCTGAATGGGGCAGAAGGATGAGAATGTCTCCTCCCAGGAATGACCAACCACTTTGCTGTTAGGTGATCGGCTCCAATACTGCCTCGGTACAAATCGTCACGCATGCTTCAAATTCTGGTTGGGGGGCAAATAGTTTTTAGCAAAATGTCTATTTTGTCTTTCTATCAGTTGACTCCCCTTCAACCGTTTGAAGCTTCAACGGGGCTCTTTCCATTTATCATTTTTCTCTAATTCCCTTCAAAAATAGAAAGAGCTCTATATGTCTTTTTTTAAAAGAGTGCATTAAAATAATTATTTTCCGGGCTTCCCTGGTGGCGCAGTGCTTGAGAGTCCGCCTGCCGATGCAGGAGACGCGGG